CCATCACCGACCCCCGGCATCCGCGAGTTCTCCATATGTGACGTTTGGTTCGGGCTTGTGGGGACTGTCATGGGGCCCTTTCGGGACCCAACAAAAATGTTGACAGGATAGTTGGGTAAATTCCAACGATCTCAACTGGGAATCTTGTGAAACGACCTCACCCATGATTCTTGCTTGAGGATGCCTTGTAGCCTATGTCCAGGTGTTCGATTGTAGTACTTTGCCCAGATTAGGCACAAGGACCAATTTGGGAATTTAGACAACCAATGTTCATAAGGGTTCCTGTTAAGATAACCCTCGTAGGGAATGTAGACAAACATTCAAGGTTCCTTTGAGAGCATGACCGTGGGCCCCACATTCTGGGAATTTTGATCATGGCACAGTCTTGCTCCGAGCCGTTCCTCAAAGATGTTCAAAACGGTGGCGTTTTTGCAATGGTTTGTAGGCCTTTATGATACTGTGGATGGACGAAATCCATTTCGCACCACCTAAGAAACCCTGGAATGATCATTCCCCTGTAAATAACTAACAAACCATGGCTTGAACCATGGTTTCTTAGGTGATGCGAAATGGATTTCGCAACCATCCACAGTGCAGTTCTTCCGGCATGTTTTTTCTGAACGCTTTGCTTTGGTCTGACCAATTTCTGTGGTCGAATCAGATAGATGCGACAGGTGGAACCCCTGAAGATGAGCGCCAAGGAACGCCTGGACTTCTCCGGGGTGTGCGCTTCCTCTTAGTGTGGAATACGTTGCGGTTTCAGGGTATAGCCCGCTTCCAGCTGGCAACCCACTTGCTGAGTTCCTGGACTTGAGGCTTTTGGGGAAGATTTGCTCCAACCGCCACCTCTCGGGGTTGCAAGTTGAGGCAAGTCCGGTCGCCTTTCTTTTCCCTGCGACATGCGGGGCATATTGAAGTCACTGTTTTGTCATGGTAAGTTTTCCGGGTGACTTGTGGAGTTTGTGACTGTGACGCAAGGTGCTAAGATGCTAACCGGAAGCCCGCCGAATGTTGGAAACTGCGCGGCTTACTGGTGTGTCATTGTGATGTTTCGGTGAGCACTGAATCGTTCTTTCGACCTCGGCATTATCTGACATTCAGGGCGCTTTTGCATGAGACGCACAAATCACTCATCAACAGGGTTGGGCCGCCCCCCTTTTTGAACCTGATTCTACCACTATGGTTTAAACAACCTTTTGGTTTCCCCTTTGAGGGGGCTGAGGGGGTGGTCGTTTACACAAGTTTTGCCACCAGCCCTGCGAATCACGCAGGTACAAGCAAGGGGTAGCCAAGAAGAAGAAGGAGAAGTGTGTTCGAGCGTGTGCTAACAAATTGATTTCCATCGCAACTCTGATGCGCCAACGTGGGCCTGGAGAATGAACGTGGGATGTTAGTGAGTAAAACAGCAGTACTTGTGTTGGGATGCCTGTCCTTTGCCGCGATGGCTTTGCCCACAGGGTAACAAACACGCATTCTTGGGCCTTGGGTCGAAAAGACTTGCACAAACTCAACAGGCTCACAGCTTACCTGGGCAAGACGAGCTCACTCATAATGAAGGTCCTCCGCTTGGAAAACCTCATGCCCTGTTTGAAGATTACAGCGATTTGCCCCATAAACGATTCAGCTTCAACTGCTGTCATTGACATCCAGTCTTTGCCAGATGCAGCGCTGTCAGACATCAATACGCCGCTAGCTTTGTTCAAGAGATCGGGCCGCTAAAGGAGTCTGAAGTTGGGTGCCTTTTGAATTCAAAGCTAATGCGTTGTTTGAAATTCCTTCAAACCCCGAACAACGGCACCCTGCCCCTCCAGCAATCATAGAAGCTGACAGGAAGATTTTGGAAGAGTCGTTTCCTTTTTGGGCAAGCCCGCTGTCCACTGCCATGACTGTCGGAAAGAGGGTGTACCGAGCCTCGTTAAGAAAAGCAAGATCCCCCATGTAGTCTTGCAAGTCAGGAGCTACTTGGCCGCTTCCTAGGTTCCTGGTTCGCCCTTGTCCAAGACCCTACAAACCCCAAACGGACATACCCCCTCTGGACCATGTACAACCCCTACATCCCTCCTATTTGTACCTGCTGGTTTTGGGGTATGTCCATGTAGGCGGGTTTGCGCAATCGGGCTTCCAGCATGCATTCTTGTACACAAGCCACCACGCGCCTCTCTTGCCATTGGCAGGAGGCGGCTGATTCTGCTATTGAATCCCCAAACCAATTTGGTTGTGCTTCTTTCCATTGTCATTGGACCTGGTAAGGAGAACCAACTTGGCTTCTCCCCAATCTTGGAGGAACAACACAACATAGCATAACTAATTTTGCTGCCCCGTTATCTGACGAAGAGTTGGGAGTCTATTGGACAGATCTGTTGAAAGTGGGCTCGGCAAGCGACCCGTGCTGTTGAGGAGAATGAAAAGAGCGGCCGCGGAAAATCGCCCGCTGTCACCGCAAAGAAGAAGTAACCTGACGCTACCTTCCGTCCAACAAACACGGAATGGAACACGCCCCTTCGCCAAGAGGAAGCATACTTCAACAGGCACGTGCGCGCTTCCGTGTTTGATGGTGAGGGTGCCTTGCGGGAAAGATGTAATTATTGCAATTTGTGATGTTCAAGGTTTTAAGCGCCAGATGTTCATGATTGAATGCAAGATTCAACAGCATGTGTTCAGCGACATGAAGAAGATCCACCAATGAATCGTGCAAGTTGCGGGAATTTCATTATTCCACAGCCACACTCTGTGGCATTCTCAAGGCTTGTCTAGAAGTCGAGAACTTGTACATACGCCGGCTTGCCAATGGGCTGGTAATATGCCGTGCCCTGAGGTCCAAGGAACTCATGGCTTTTGGGCGGGACTGAGTTGTTGGGGCACTTTTGTCAGCTTCACAACACACGACCTTTTGCACATTGCCCTTTCTTCCCCGTGGCCACCGGAGGTCTGGGATATAGCGTGATGAGCATTTGCATTGTGCCGTTTGGCCAATTTTCCAGTTCACTGGGCTCTCCGCATCTCAGTGGCACCGTGTAACTCACCCGGTTGCCTCGTCTCACTGGCCGGCAAACTCCCCAGCAAAAGGTGGGGAAACAAGTGGCAGGTGAAAAATGGCACTTGCACGTCCAACTCAAGCGTGGGCACTTGTCCAAGTAATCCTGGAGTTTGGGTGGAGAGTAGACAAACACTGCAAGATGCATCTCGTGGCTAAGACTAGGATGCGATTGCCCATCCAACATGATGTGTCGGTTAGGCAGCTCGGCCTGTCAATGAGTTCACAGTGCATCTATTCATTTACCTTTGTTGCTCCAAAGCTTCCACAGAGACGGTCAAATAGCAAGGCGCATTTGAATCTCCGAGCCGTGTTGCGGTTCTGCCCAAGGCGACATAACGCCACGGCCGTGTTTTGGCCCGAACTGGTCAGGCTACTTGGAAGCCTTGCACTTCGCTGTTGAGACCGCGTAGTGCCACAGCTTGGAAAGCCCACAATGCTCCAGCTGAAATACACACATGCACAGGTAATAGTGCAGTGACGCTGTGACTGCGAAAGGTGGGGCGTAGACTAGTTTGAGGCCTTGGCTCTTTTCTTCACTCAATGATGTTCATGACGAAACCAGACCTTACCATTTAGTATTGCGAGAAGAAGCTCTAGAATGAATTACTCCATTCAAAGATGTTCAATCAGTGCAATCTGAGTGCAATCCAAGACTAAACTTACTTTTTAGACTCATTTAAGGGTCTTTGGCAGCCCGCCAGCCCGACATTTGTGTCCGGCATTCGGGTTTCGTTTCACGAGCGATGGATGCACACCGGTGCCCTGTGCCCGGCAAGGCCGCATCGCGCGCGACACGGCCGTGGGGAAGTTACAAATGCACTTCGGGGGCAACATCTCGGCCAAACCCTATGAAGGTCCTTTGCCTGTTGCAAATTATGAGTTAGGGTAAATGTCCCAGAGGCTTGTCACCGAAAAGGAGTGAGACCAGTTTCCGTGGACGTGGAAATGAGATTGATTGAATAAGAAGACATCCTTGTCCATTTTTCGGGCGTTCATCGGTCACCATTCTGCGATTGAGGTGTCAGCCGTACCTTTGTAAGTCTAAGTTCATGAAAACAAAAGTGCAAACAGGGGCCAATTGACTCAAAATGAGCCACAAGCGTCGCAGCTGTTTCACCTTTGCTCACGTTCTTCGTCTCTCATCGGTTTTGTGCGGCAACTGCTTCTGTTCGATATGTGGAGAATCGCCTCACCTTGCCCTTGATAAATGCCCCAAGTGTTGCGACCGGATGTGGGTGTCCTTTGGTGAACTAACATAGCTGACCTGTCCACAGCGAACAAACGGTGTCAAGTTGATCATGGCCTGCCCTCTCCTCTCTAGTTGCAGCAAACATGGCTTGCCTGCCAGGCAGTTTGGGTCACTGCCGCCCTGTGCGGCCTGGCCGGCTATGCTGGCATGCATTTCCTGAGTGTTGTTTGGGCCTCCAGGCGTATCATAAAATGCACCAGGGGGTCTCTTTCCAGAGGAAATGGTCCTCCAACACCCCTCAGTCAGGCTCCACATCGATGGATGGGGCTAGTATGAGCTAGGATAAAGACATGTGAAGACTCACCAGACGGTACTGTTGCGCAGGATACTCTGTGACTTCCCAATTACCATGGAGAGGCTTACTCCGCGAATCTCATTTAGATTATCCATGAATATTGACCAAAGTTTGAAGGGATGAACAAGCAAAAGTGGCCAGTTGGCAGAATGAAGCACGGGCAAGCTGAGGTCAACTCAAATCTGGGAGCCTGAGAGTGCCCAAGTTGAACCGGAAATCAGCTCGAAACTCTAAAATGCCTCCGGCCATGCCGCCAGCAAAAGGTGCTTTCGCGCCACACTTGTCATGAGCCGTGTAGCAGCTCTCAACGAGCGTCCTCTCTAAACAAGATGGAGATGCATTTTGATTGAATTCCAACAAATGGTTTGTGGGCACGTCCGCCATGAAAACGACGTCCACCAAAGTGTCCCCAATATAACTCATACCCGGATCATGTTTGAGACGGCCAGTCTGGGAAACGTGAAACGAGCCCCTGTCAATGAAGCTTCTGTCCTTTGACCTTACTTCCTGTTTGGAGGGTATGAAAGGGGTATGCAGGCGTAGCGGTTTCAAAGGCTGTGTTTGTCGTCATGGTCTCAAGTGGACAAGAAAACGAAACCGCCCTTTTGGTAGATTCTGCGATTTTGACATCCATGTACTGCTTCCTTGGGCTCGCTGCCAAGCAGGGGCCCCATGCGGGGCCATTCAACTTCCACGGGCCAGGTACGTTAGATGCACTTTGTTGGCTGCCACATCCTGAGGCGCGCACGAGCGGCTGATGGTTAATGCCTCCAGTTCAGTAACGAAGGTGCCTTTTTGGTGCCTTACCAAAATGGTCAACCCCAGAAAGACCCCGGCAACTGGGCAAAATCGTTCCCTGTCAAAAGTACCAGCACGAAGAAGGGTGTCCATTGTCCAAATGGGGTGTTCTCTTTTTGCGTGGCGGTTGTTGATCTCACTGCCCCTGGGGTAGTGGTTTTTGGGGCAATGGACACTTCTTCTTTTTTTGTTGTTGGGGGGGGGTGCTTGACTTTATTCGAGTGCATTGTTAGTCACAAACGGAAAGTTAGCTCTTTAGAACTTGACAAGAAAGCCATCAGCCATGGATGAGCCATCCATCAGCCATCCATCAGCCACCTAGTGACACCCCATCAACAGCAACCGGTTCGTTTTAATTATTAAGCCACACGCCATCATGCAACTCTGACTCAGTAGCCACTAGCGGGTCCAAGTACCTTCTGAGAATGTGCTTTAGAGCCAAAGACGAATCAAAGCAAGATAATGCATTCAACAACTATTTCCAAGGTCGCCTGCGTGAAGCAATCGTTGGAAGTTCAATCCAAGGACCCTTCAAAGCTGCTGGAGAAGGGTCATTGTCCAGGGGAACACGGACCACTATCCATCGCGCAACATGTTATTGTCACCCTTGTGTCATTGAGCGCACTGCGTTGTGCGCTGCAGTATATATATATATATATGCCATCTGATAGAAGGTTAAACCCAAGCTGGCGATCATGCAGCGGCGGACCAACTCATTTAGTGGAGCTTGCATGAGCTGAAGAAGAACATAGCTACGTACCTTCTCGCCGTGGCACCGAGCCACCGGGCGACTGCTGAAGCTCCATAGCGAAACCTGCGGGCCCAGCAGCCTGCATGGGTCTTGAGGGAAAAGAGCTTTCGAGCATGCCCTTGGGAGTGTCATAGAACGAGCTCACTGATCGGGGATAAATGAGCTCACCCATTTTTTCACGGCCTTTGCTAGGGGATTCCTCAATTCCCGTCTGGGAATTATAGCAGTCAATCGCACCCCCCCCCCCCCCCGAACCACAAGCCCTCCTGCAAGAGCCGATTCCCAAAGTCTTGGTCCCGACGCGAACTTTGGATTGCAGGAGAATCTCCCGGAAGCTCGTGTTTCCCCCACGCAACTTATGAACTCTTCGCTTCAACCAAAAACGACGCAGGCCGTGAGCCAGCCAGTGCCTAGGCGAGAGGGTGAGAGGGTGGGCGCCATTTTGCGTGAGCTCGGCCATTTGTGCCACGGTTTGAGCTTCTTGAGGTTGGTGGGGATGGTCATAGACCTATTGGCCTGTTGAGGGAACCATGGCCCCATGCCACTGGCGGTTTGGGTTTTCACGTGAGGTTGCTAGGGATGGTCATGGTCCGCTTCAACTATTTAGACACCCGTTATAAAGACGTCCATTAAGCGAACCATGACCATGGCCCACGTAGGGAGGTTTGACCATGGCACATTCGATCCGAAGGCCGCTGGTTGGGGCTCGAATGCGCATTTGGGATGAGTCAGAACTAGCGTGCCCATCAACTCGGCTCGGGCTGCCAACATGCCCCCCCCCCACTGACATCGAAATGACCTTTGATGATTCGTGCCCATCAAAGCGGCTGGGGCTGCCGACATTGGTTCCCCTCACTGACATCGAAACGAGCTTTGATGTATTTTATTTGTTTCTTGAAATGAAGATCCCTGATTCCTCATGCGTTGCAACTTTGCAAGGCTTTCTGAAAGCCAGCCGTTTCTGCCGGTCCCAACATTCAGGACCGCTCCAATTGGTTGGTTTCCGATTGTTGTTTACTGGCGACACCAGCCACAATGGAAAACAATACTCTCAACACACGTTGAATCCAAAAGCTATTCAGGCCCTCATGGCCCCCGAAATGTCCAAAACACATTGCAACCACATGCTTGGAAAGGATGGGACAGTTAGTACCCTTACGATGCGATGCTCGCTTGCAGGCAAATCAGTGCCAGAGCCTTATCAAGCGAAGTCACGGGCTATCCGGAAGCACCTGGCAACTGCTTACTCCCAGTTCTCCTGTGGGGGGGTGGGCGTTTCCTTGTCCTTTTTGTCACAAGGGTTCCCTCTGTTTTAGCCGCAAGAAACGCCGTCGGGCAAACTAAAGCGACAGCCAAGATCAGATGAAATG